TTATTAATACAGCCATATTATCTAACATCCAATATGATTTATAATTAAACAAGCCTTTTTTATCACAATTACTTATGTTTTTATACATAATATTATTAAATTAATATGCAAAAATGTTTCTTTGTTAAATATGAAATAGTTTTCGCAGTGCTTTTGTAGGAAATCAGCTGTGTTAATAGTAAATAATTCAGCAATAAATAAGGGAAGTATTAATAGATAATACATATTTTTTGGGCGTTTACTGTAAAGAAGTACGTGTTATTAATAAATGATCAAGTATTTTTATGAGTAATAAATTACATTGGAATCAACGGTGAAATAATATTGAAAATCATATTTCTATCAGTGTAGATTTTTGGAACATCTTGAATAATTAATTGATTTCAGGGAATATAATTAAAATGTACTAAATCGAAACCGATACCAACCTCTGTACTCTCCGTTGGTCCCAATTCAATAAATATTGCGTCTTCAATATTTTCTTGATTTTCTTTCAAATCAGCCTGTGTATCATCCTGTTCCTGACTGAAAATATCTGAAAGTAAAGAGAAAAGTAGGTATACACAAGTTTATTGATATGGATAAGTATGAAGTAGTCGATGAATAGTTATTTTTTCAAGTTCAATATTAATTATTAATTAAGTTTGATGTACATACTGTCATCATCAAATCTCGCAGGCAGACCCTCGACACTGAGTGCGATTAAACTATAAATCTTTTCTTCATAATTTGTTAGCTCGATTATATTTGCAACGCCTCCACCGGTTTTAAACATTTATTGTTTGTTTTTTGACACTTTTTTCCTTAGATCTTTTTTAATTCCCTTATACTTAGTTTTCAAGTTGTTGAGGGTTCTGACAGTCCCATTCTTGAGATTAAACTCAGCAGTTAATTTCTCCCAAGATTTATGCTTTTCCTTCCAAGTGATAGAGTCAGTTTTTTTCGATTCAATTATATCAGCACACACTCAAAGAAAATGATAGGTCAAATCAACCAAAAAGAGCATATGAAAATGCGCCTATCCACCTTCATAGTTATAACAACCAGAAATTAATAGTTAAACATATTTTTACCAGAATAATAGTTCAGTAACCAAACTTTTTTGTTGTAGCAACAAAATAGAGTGTATAATGACAATTATTCATGCTCAGTAACAATAATTATTCAGTTGAGTAACTGAATAATTTTTCAGTATCCAAAATTTTTTGTTATAGAAACAAAATAGATGGTATATACAATACCAATCATTCAGTTGAACTATTTTTTGTTTGCTGTATTATTAGATGGTACCTTAACATTTTTTTTTAGTTGTTCAAACTTATTTTTGCCTATCTACTTGTAGGGTAGGTAGGTAATTTCGTCGAATTAAAACACAGTGTTGAAAGTAGCGGTATTTATTTTTGAAATGACACATCAACAATTACCCTGTTGTTTTCTTTTTATAAGGCGTGTTTGATGCAAGATGGCAACAGTGAGTGGATTGACAAGGCAACTATCATGTCATCTTTACTACATGGAGAATCTGTAAACCAAAATAGTAGGTTAATAAGTAGGTACATCGTTAAAAAACAGAATATTAAGATATTACCTTCGGGATTCACTGTGTTTAACCCAGTTTAAGAAGATTTATGTTCTGTTTATATTTCACTTTTTCGTTGAATACCTATCGGTATTGCCAGATTTCTAAAGTTGCTCCATTTTAATACTAAATTGTATGATTTTCCCTTATGTTCGAAAAATCTAGTTATATCTATAAGAAAAGTAGGCACTTGTTAGAAATTTTATTGAATGATATCAACATAAATATTCTTTTTTCTTACCAAATAAGTAGATAGAATTCACAAGCGAATCTGTGAATTTCTCTTGAAAGCTATCCATCCTGACTTACCCTTCGGGTCCGAACACTCCGAACGAATTATTCACTAATCATCAGTGATTAATCTGGATTAATACCAATGGACGCGGCGATTTAAAAACGTTAATATGGAGCAAGTCCGTATTCCGTAAGGTTTCACCTGTTTGTCTTGTGTTTGCACTAGACGAGGGCGATATACCTACTGGTCTGGACCACGGCAAGGAAAACCGATATAAATTTCAAATTTTGTATGCAATAAAAGGTAAAGCCAACCAAAAAAAAAGCATTTTGGACAATAATTTTGTAGATGTGGAAAATCAGAGGGTTGACTTTAAATAAAATTTTGTTATTTAACAAATTTCTTTAGTAACTTAACAACATTGCGGCTTAAATTTACCATTAAGTAATGGTTAAAAGCAATTTAAACAATTTCTAGTTTGGTTTGATGAAGCCGTTTAACAAAAAAACTGTTAGTGAACTAAATAATTGTTAAATTTGCCCAAAATATCATTGTCACTAAACAATTAAAATTGGTTAAATATCCCATGCATTAATAGGTGGAAATTCATTAAACATTTACTGGTTTGGTTTGACAAACTTTAACAAAAAACTGTTAGTGAACTAAATAATAGTTCAATTTTCCCAAAATATTATAGTGACTTTTAACAATTAAATTTGTTAAATATACCATCCAATAATGGGTAAAACTGAATTAAACATTTTCTGGTATGGATTGACAAAATTTAACAAAAATCCTGGTTAGTGAGCAAAACAATAGTTATAATATCTATTTTTTAAGTTAAATCAAGTTTTGTATCGCAACAATTTTTTATTGGTAGAAATAACTTTCAAGCTCTGATTAAATTAAACAGATTGTAGTTTCATTTGACAATATCATCGGATTAGTTATTCAACAATTTTTTTTTGTTGAATCAACCCATGTAATTTTTCTGAGTGTATTTTACAACAAGTTCACATAATAACTCCACCTCTTGCTCTGAAAAATTTGCGGACCTCTTTTTTTTATCATTCATTTTCACTTAAATCAGGAAAACGTTGAGGAAAACGAATGGAATAACAAAAAGTTTTTCCAATTTTAAATTGATTTCCAAACCAAACAAAATAGCTATTTTCCTAACGAGTGCGGAAATTTCTTCCCGCAAGAGTTAGGAACTATATTTTTTCTACGAGCATACTAAAGCTGATGTTACGAGAAGTTTAATTTAAATAAAATGCGATTGTGCAGAAGGTAGAATTAAAAATGTATTGAAAGGTATTTATAAAAAAAAGGTAAAGGTATTAAAGGTAAAGGTATAGGTGTATCAACAATACAAACAATTCCATGTCACAATGATTATTTCAAACTCTTCCCGCACATCTCTTCCCGCACTGGTGCGGGAAAAAAGTCTTCCCGCACAGCAAATCGTGCGGGAAGAGCCATTTCCCGCACGCTCGTAGAAAAACACTTTTAATTAACCAACCTAACCATACTCTTCCTTCTTCGTTTTTTGTATTTTTTTTTAGGGCATCTACACATACACCGTTGCCAAATAGTAGAGTCCTTGATAAGTACCAACAGGTGAAAAATGGATTGATAATTCTCCTCAAAGTTACCGGTGGGTTTACCGAGAAGATAAAATTTATGCGCCTGGTAGCAACCAGCAACTTTACCAGCAGATCCATAATTTGGCCCTAAGACAGACTGAATAAGCCAATGACATATGAACACAGATAGACATTCCAGTAAACAAAATTTTGTGTCGCCAACATCTAGGAGAACAATCCACCGCCGGTGTATTTATTGGTTGCCAAATTGTTACGGATTGATATTTTATCCTGTTATGACTGTTAAGAAGTTGGAGCTTTAAGATTAAAAACGACTACTGACAACGCCGGTATTGTAAGACAGGCGGAACACACGCTGCAATCAATTGGTATGTCAACACGCCCATCAAACTTACATCATATGAGTTAGAGGCGAACAGATAAAGTCTGATACTTCAAAAACATGTGAGCTGGTGGCTTCCTCCGTTAGAAAGCCAATGGTCACCTGATGTCACACCTGTTTTTGCCATAAAGCTTCACCCCCTCGCTTCTCATACGGAAAGTGTCGGATTAAAAACGACAGACAATAGATGAACGAGTTCCACCGATGCGCATTTCTTGATTATTTTGATCAAGTGAAACCCGTCATTCACAGAGGGGAATACGGGTATTGTTTACACCCATGAGGTATCCCTACCATGACTCCTTTCGAGTAGCTCACCTCTCCTAACCTGGCTCATAGGGGTATTGTCATCACATCAAACATCAGTTTATGAATGAGATATGAGATGCGGTGTCTATCTATGTTAAAATGTCATTGGATTAAGCCGATACTTGATGGAAATAGATTACCTTTGACAGGAAACGAAAAAGTTTTTAGATTTTCACAATTTTCATGCCGTAATATGCTTCAGCACACTGTGCGGACGACTTTCTCGGACGAAGATAATAATACTTGTTTGGTATTCTCAACGTATCCTCAGACTCCAATATTATGCTTAATCTCTATCTAAAAATCTGATGTTTGTGACCATCCTCAATCTGCTCTCGCTTTTATTCTGAAACAGTGGTCGAACTTACCAACTTCTGAACTTCATTGACCAGTCAGAAACAACTACTCCTAGAGCAAATACCCCTCGTTTTGCTTGAACAGGGAGCTTCAGCCTATGCCCTTCTGATGAGTCCTAACAAGGACGAAAAGCGTTAAGGATTGGCACGGGAAGCCTGAGTCTACTGCCCAGTGGACCGATTCCCAAACAGGGACCCTATATTCACGTTGGTCATTACCTGAAAAAACCTTTCTAACAATTACCGACTTCTGTCCATTCTGTCAGGGTCCTTATTCTTGAAACAGGAGAGCGGCGTTCCCAGGAGAACGAATGTTCCGTCTTTATTACTTTTATTATTAGTTGCATATCATTGAGAAAGACGGAACACTCGTTTTCCTGGGAACGTTGCTCCCCTGTTTCAAGAATAAGAACCCAGGTTCCACCAGGAACTAAAAACTGTAAAAATAAATTTTATAGGCTCACATGTAGAACAAAAATGTAATAAGTATTTGTTCGGAATTTTAGTCTGTGGAGAAGATAATGCTGATGAGATGGACGGAGACTTTCCAGAGGACGATAACACATCCGAAAACAATGCCCAAGAAGAAGCTGTAAGTTTTTATTATTTTTTAAAATTCCTAATGGTTTCTGAAATAATAGACAGGACTATAAACCGAAAAAATTAGGTTCCAGAAGCAAATCCTGTTACTTTTGAGGTAAAGGTATTTCTTAGGTAATTTGGGACCGCAGAATCCAAAAATGCCTGTTACCAATTCGAAATCGCGACCGGAAGTGAGATAATCAAGATGGCGGTCAGAAACCTGAAAATTAACCAATTTTTTTGCTTATAAACACCTATAAACGTGATTAGGACATTAAATTATATGTTTTGTAGGGCGAAAAATACACAGAGATGCCAGAAGTCAGGCACTAGAATCGTCTTCTCACTACATTTTGCGTTATCAAGGCCAGGCCAGGCAACAGCTTATCTTTGTTGTTGAGTATGGAGTAACATTTATCGTCTTTCTTCTATGCTTCTATTGTGACTGAAAAAAACTTTTAAACGATGTAAACAGCAGTAACCTCGCATTCAATCTTCTCTCTGAACGTGAACGTACTGCGCTTAAACTTAAAAGACTCTGGTATTTCAATATCAATGTCTGTAACAATTTTCTTGTATCTTTCCCACACATTCTTCAATAATTCCAAAACCTACAAGTGAAATAGGAATATTGTTGGTAATGGTAGTAATTAAAGGTAAAATTTAAATTTTCCTTACCTTATTTAAAGATGCAGCCACTCGAAGTTCTTTGCATATTTGAAATTGGAGTTTGAGTTCCGAGCCCCCTTTCCCTCGCCATCTTTCATCAACTTATTTTTAATTCATGTGTACTTCACAATACACAGTGGCGGATACAGTGGGGAGGCAGGGGGGCAACTAAAATAATAAATTTTCAAAAATAAAAGAAAACAAAACCATATTTCAAGTTTTAAGAATGTTTAGAAAACTGGAAACCTATAAAAAAATCACACTTTTGTCTTTGTCTCAAGAACTTTAACCTCAAACAGTATATCATTAGTGGTTGAGTTAATGCATTGTTTTTTTTGTTCTAATAAATAAATATTCATACAAAATCAATAAGATTATGTACAGGGTATCTTTTTTATATATTGACATGCCACCTACAGCCTTTACCTTTATAGGTAGATGAAAGGTGTAAATACAAAAGTTGTACAGTATTGGCTGAATTTTTAAAATCCATGGTCAAAAACAAAAATTGTCAGAAATGTGAAATATTGCATGCTTTTAGCTTTTTTCAAATGGGATGCGCTATCAGGCCTATGATGTATCATTTTCTGTTATTTTATCAGCAACGTTAAGTAATCTGTCACTGTTTATTCTACACGTAAAAATAGAGACAGGTATAGATTTTGAGCTATAACGCAACTGTTAAAATAACAGGACAGGATACGTCATAGGCCAGTATATTTGGTTCTATATTCTTGAAGAACACAATTTCCCGATTTCAAAACTATATAGTTTGTCTATATTTGGTTAAGCTGTCTCCAACATATTTGGTTCTAAAAATTTTAAAAATACTATAGGAGAAACCAAGTATCTCAAATTTTACCTGCAGCTTTCACCTGTACAGGTAGAATAGTTCACAAAATCGGTAGTTATAGGATAGTATTTTTTCCTACAGCCGTGCGGAAAAATCGATTTTCCGCACTGATATGCGTGCGGAAAATGAGTTTTCCCGCACGGTGCGGTAAAAATTTTACCGCACGCATATCAGTGCGGAAAAAGTTTTGCCGCACGGCTGTCAGTGCGGAAAAAGTTTTACCGCACTGATCTGTCAAAAAAAAAAGAAAAATTTTACATTTTTACGCCTGTAGGAAAAATATTGTACCTAACACTTGCGGAAAATATTTTTCCGCACTCGGCTGCTTCACCGAACTCCGCTACGCGTCGTTCGGTGAACGGCAGCCGCGTGCGGAAAAAATCATTTTCCGCACTTGTTAGGTAAATAGCTATTACAATTTTCGGAGCCAAATATATGAGATATTGCTCAATCAAATATAGATCGGGGCATTGTGCTCTTCAAGAATATAGAATGAAATATAGGGCATCCCATCTGAAAAAAGCTGGAAGCATGCAAAATTTCACATTTTTGACATTCAAATTCAAATTTTGTTTCTAAAAATTCAGCTAAAGCTGTATGTCTTTTTAAAGTCAGTTGAAACAAGGTAAAGGTTAATCACAACTGGTAATTGAATACTTTCATAATGCACTGCCACTAGTCAGCCACCAGTTGCAATTTATTTTTACCTTGTTTCAATTGACTCTGCAAAGACTATACAACTTTTGTATCTACACATTTCTTCTACATGTGAAGGTAAAGGCTATAGGTGGGGTGTCAATATATAAAAAAACACCCTGTACAAATAAGTGGATTATTACGGAACTTATGGGTGGGCCTCTGCGGGACGAGCGCAGCGAGTTCCGCAGCCATCTACTCATCAATATACTGTTGAACTGTTCAAATAATACACTCACCTGAAACGTGTAGTTTTTGAACTAATGAGAAAAATTCTCAACTGAGTGAATCAGGTTAGTATTGTACTTGAACAACATATTGGTGAATAGATGGCTGGGTGCACCCATAAGTTCCGCAACAATCGACTCGTTTGTACTTGAATCGCTTGTCACAATATATTACCAGTTTGGTAAAGTAACATTACTAATTCCTGTTAAAAGGCCAATTGACAAAAAGTGGATAATCTTACAAATTCTGACTTTATATAATAAGTGATTCTTCAAGTACAAATATCTAATCACCAATATACTATTGAACTCTTCAAGTAAGACATTCACCTGAAATGTGTAATTTTTAAATTAATGAGAATAACGCACATTTGACTGAGTCAGTTTAGTATCGTAATTATACAACATATTGATGAATGGAGGTCCTTCTATAAGTTCCGCAACAATTCACTCATTTGTACTTGAATAACTTGTCACATTATGTTACTAGTTTGGTAAACTAACATTACTAATTCCTGTTGAAAGGCAAATTGATAAAAAGTGGATGATCGGGGATAATACCACGAGAGCTTCAAAATTACCGATAATTTTTCACGATTGCGTGTTTTCTATAATTTGCAGAGAAAACACGCATGAGTGAAAAATTATCTGGTTCATTTTAAAGCTCAAGAGGTATTTAGAGGATTATTTCACGTATGAGAATGCAAAAAATATGGAAATAAATATGTATTAAACGATTTGAACATCTTAACAATCAATACAAATAAATGGTTGCTATCAGCAACCGTTTGTTTGTATCAAAAATTAGCATGACAACCATGTATACAATAACATGGGAGAATTATTGCTGTAATTCTCTCTAGTTAAACAAATAGAAAAGAGAATTTTCGCTGTAATTCTGAAAATCGTCACTTGTCTTATGGGATTTCTAACACATGAGTGGAATAATCTTACAAATTCTAACTTTATACGGGTTTCCACTTAGTGCGATATCGGACGATATCTCCTTACAGGGTGATGCAAGAAAAAAAAATTAAATTACAAAGTTATTTGATACTCTAATATGCATTAGTTAAAAATATTTTTGAATATACAGGGTGCTTCGTTTATGGGATATGCGACAAAACTTTGTTATTTCAAATAGAACACCCTGTATGTGATTGCATATTTGGATTCTACGTAAAATTCAATCATTTGACACCAACTTTGAATTTAACCGGAGATTAAATTTAACTGGAATTTTTAATCATGGATTAAATTCAAAGTTGGTGTCAAATGATAGTTTATAGAATTCTAAGATAGGAATGTAGAATCGGTTTTCGTCTAAATTAACCATTTAGGTTTTACAGCCTGTCAAAGTTGCAAAAAGTCAATTTTCAACTGTCAATATTTCCAAAACAGTTGAACTTAGGTAAAGGGTATATTGTTATGTATGAAGATAAATTCTTATTTATTAAATTGTCAACCTGTGAACGCTTCATATACACAAATTCCTGTGCTTTATTATTATTAGTTTTTTTCCTTATTTGGTACCTTGGGCTGCCAAATATGTATATTTTAAGCAGTCAGTTGAGTTTGGAATCTCGTAAATAAAACATTAAATATAATAATAATATTCGGGTTTTATTTAATTTTCTATGGTCGTTCATATTAACGCCCATATAGAAAATTGGCGACGAGTTATTTTCTACGTTCCTACGTCTCGTGCGTGAAATTTTTTTCATACAAGTTTATGAATAGCTATTTATACAATAAGTTACGAAATGAGCGTCTTTTAGGCACGCGACGTGAAAATTGTCCAACGAGGCAAAGCCGAGTTGGACAACACGTCGAGTGACTAAAAGACATCGTTTCGTAACGTATTGTATACAAGATTTTTTCTACTGGCATTTTATAATAAAAAAACACAATTTTGTTTCATGTGAATAAGTCGATTACACCCAAAATCTTTGTTACCTGCTTTTACTTGACACCTGACACTTTTCATGCGATTTTCTTTTCAAAATTCGACATCAATAATTAAAATCCTAGAAAGTAGGTAATAACACAAAGTTCTGTTTTGAGTAACCCAAACGTTCAATTCAGTAATTCCATTTTCAATATTCATAATAAATACAAAACAAAATTCAAATATGTGTTTAGTGTGTTTTTTATTTCTGAATAATGAATGACACTTTTAGGCACTAGTGCTTAAAAATTACTTTTACGCACTCATAAGTCACTTTTACGCATTCAAAAGTCACTTTTACGCACTGAGTGCCTAAAAGTAACTTTCACGCACTCAGTGCCTAAAAGAATGTCGTTTCAAAACTGAAATGACAATCGAAAAGTTGCTATTATGAAACGTCAGTAGAAAATAGTTATTTTCCTAACAAGTGCGCAAAGTGTTACTTTTCCGCACGCAAACACAGTTATACGAACGACGCGCAGCGGAGTTCGGATGAGTGTTTGCGTGCGGAAAAGAAACTTTGCGCACGTGTTAGGAACAAAATTTTTCCTACGAGCCTCATATCAGGTAGGTAACAACAAAAATTTAAAAAAAAAACGATAATTTGTTCAATTATT